TTTGCTAGAAGTAATTTAGTTGAGAATTAAATGGATTTATGACTTGTTTTATCTTTACAAAGGATGGAACAAACCATTTGTTTACAAATGTGTTCCCTCTGATTCCCTTGTACAGTCTCCCGACTCTATATGCTCATATAATTTAAAGCTTGTACAAGAATTTTATAAACTATAAATTGGCTTGTTTCTCACTTGAAGGGCATAATAAAAATGTAGGGGTTCAGGAGAAGCTGTCCCCCTTCTGCACCCACAGTCAGTTTTACCCTGCTTAGAGTTTGTCCACACTACAACCAGAAGAGATAGGAGAGCTAAACTTGTGTAGTAGCCCTCCCACTCCACACCTTGAACAGAATGATCACTCCATCTGTTGGTTCTTAGACCATTAAAGACATGAGAGCAGTAAGCATTGCAAACTGCAGCTTGGAAGTCTAGATTAAGTTTATGGAGTCACAGAAAATGGAACATGTGTTTTACAGTTTTCTTTTTCTCTCAACTTGTGATTATATTGTAGCTTGCAATATCTGGAAAAACTTTTCCAAGCCTTATCATAAGCTCCATGTATAATGATGACAAAATACCTGTTTTGACATGGTGGTGTCTTAAGTGGAACATCTTCTAGACTAATGGAGAACATCAGTAATCACACACAATTGATGGCCCACAACAGGATTTTCAAAATTAAGCCGAGATATAAAGCTGGTTGTTCATTTTCTGCTTTCTTGAAAATTAGTCATTAGGATTTGATGGCTGTGGGTCGGCTTCTAGCTCCCCACATCTGCCATGGGTATAGAGCCTGAGAACACAGTGGAATTAGTGGTTCTTCTTATAGAAATGATGGTGGAATTTGTGGGGCTCTAACACACAAGTCAAGGCAGAGATAAAAGGGTGAGGCTGGAGGATCTGTTACTGCTTGGATCTACCTGTTGTATTAATTTAGATGGACTAAATGGGGCAAAGGTGTTAACACAACCTAGTCACTGTCCAACATTAAACAGTATTAAGTGAGGTCCAGGGTTTGATATACAGAGACCTCAGCCTGCTTAGCATCATGGCAAACACACCATTAAAAATCCTTTTAATAAAGATGAATAAAAGAACGAAAAACAGTTTCAGACTTTAACAGCAGCACCAGCAACAACAGCTCCAGCTCATCTGGACTAATTTCTTCTCTTTTCCCCCAAAGGACAATTATTACCATCTTTGAGCCCACCCAAGAGCCTGCCAAACAAGGGGTTGTTTTTTTTCCTTCTAAAACTTTCTCCAGCTAAAGGGAAAGGGAACAAAGGATATTGTTAAAATGAAAGCCTAATACTTTACCTTTCAAATGCTTTCACTGAGGATAGGGCACTGCCTACAGAGTCTGCTGTTTCCCTCAGGCTGCAGTTGTGACTGCAGAGTGGTGGTATTTCCCTCAACTCTGTTACCAAGATCCCAGTATGTTCCCCCTGAGCATGTCCTGGCTCCACAGATTGCACAGGAAATGAAGACAAAATAAAATCTCTTCCCGAGCAGGAGAGCGCTCTCTGTAAGAGGAGAACAGGTGCATCTCTTAATTTTGTAGGGGGCTCCTACAACAGGGAAGGGGCACATTTGAAAGACAGTAAAAGAGAGCACCCTGATTAGGCAACTTCCTGTCTTAAGAGGCTGCCCCAAATATATTGAGTATAGCTCTGCTTTCTACCTTCTATATTGGAAGATTAGTTTGGGTGGTCCCTTAAAACAGCTTTCATTATGCTAGTACATAAGGAGGTGATGTATCTTTCTAAAATTAATAGCGTACAGAATTTTCACAACTTAATTTTATGCACATACTTATCAACTATTCCCTACATTGATAGAATAATCAGCAGTGAGACAAAAGGTATTATTTATTTATATAATTAATTATTTATTGTATTTTAATCTGTCTGAATGATGAGTACAAGTGGTATTTTGATCCTGAATAAGGTGTCATAGAAACAAATCTTTTTTTTTAAAAAAAGAGAGAGAGAAAGGAGGAATTGTTCATCTGCAGCTCCTGCTATCACTCAGTCACATGCAGATACAGTCTAGAAAGCAAGCCATAGTCACCTCAGATAACTTCTATTCACTGGGAACCATTCCTAAAGTTACTTAATGAGCCTTATGATCATCCATTTTTTCAGCTTGTGCAAAAGGCAAACCTTCCATTTGTCCATATCCACTAATGCATAGATCCACCCAGCAGAGCTGACTTCCTCTTCCTGTGTGAGATCTTTGTGCTACCATTGTGTCTTTCAAAAAACACCTCTCTCTCTGTCTGTTGAATTGCACTGGATATAATTTGGATGTGCAATTAAAATTGCACCAGGTATAATGAGGTTATGCTAGATACAGCTTTATGTCCAACTGCAGTGTGTACTGTTGGGACAGTGGTAAGACATCCCACCTTCCCGTGTTATGAATTGAAGATATTTGAAATGAGTTTGCTCTCGCTATCACACACAGACCAGCATAGCTGGATAAAGAATATAAGGCCAGACTCTGGCCTCTTCTGCATGCTGGTATAAAGGGTAATAGGGGCCCTCTTAATTCTTTGTGCCATAGTGCCACTTCAGTGCACAGAGCCACTGTGTTATCTCCCCCTCTCCCCAAAGAGGCTGGGAGGGAGCAAGGATGTGCCTGTCAGTGTATAGTTACACCAGCATATTGGAGAGGGTATGTTGTACTAAGTTCATGCTGCCACTCCCTCCCTGGAACGGGGGCAGAATGACTCCCAAATCATGATCTCCCTTCTGGGCTATTTCAGGGGTAGCGGAATAAGATGCTGCTACTTACCCTGGGCAAATTGACAACCACGCCCATAATAAATAAGGTGGTGCTATGCAAATAGGTAGGTTTGTGAATTCAGATGGATGTGGAGTAACCTAGCCTGAGACTCCAGCAACCTTTTTGTCATTGTTTTTTACTTCTTCTAATCAGGGGATTAGCCTTCCTACTAATTAGTTATTTTGCTTTTAACTTTCTCTTTCACCAAGTGACTCTGGAAAAGGGGTTGGCTGCTTATTTCCATTGTTTTAAATTCAGCGCGTGGGTATGATGTACAGTACCCTGACCTGTTGTGGCATAGTGTTATACCAATAAGTAATGTGTGTTAACTTTCACACAGCAATTCCATTTTCAGACTTTAGCTGTGATAATCATAGGGTTTTTATTCAACACTTTGCAGATAGCTCAGTATTTGAGAGAAGGCTTTAAATGAGGTCTGTTCTCCCATTGATGCCTAGGTGTAACTGTCAGTAGGTGTGAGGGAATAACAGCCCATCATGTTTGTCCAGTGTTATCTTAACTACATGTCACAAGGTGCTTGTCCTAAGATAACTTCTTGGTGAAACTCATCTCCATTTTGTAACATATAATTCTCCTATACTTGTCTGTGACATTAAGAAATTCCTACATGTCTATGTTCCAGTATCCAATTTTTGTATTTTCCCTCCCCTAGGCAAATCTCAGGCTTGTTTCTTAGAGTTGATAAATATAAGAAGTGAGAAATGGCAGATTACTAACTCGGAAAAACAGTGAATTATTTATTTATTTGAGAACTACAGGGTGTAACTTCTAAAGATTTAGAACTCTGATAACTGGTGGAAGTTCATAGAAATACAAATAGGGACCTGACCTCATTTCTCTCACAACTCATCCCACTCAAAGTTGCACAGTTTATATTTACAGTGATTGATATAACTCAGATTTAACTTCATTAGACAGAAGCTCTGGCTGGCTTAGGGTACTGGCAATGAAATATGGAACCTCCCATCTCTATCAGATGTTCAGTCCCAGTCCAGGTTCATAATGACCAGAGGTTGTTACCGTCAGTGATCCTCTCAGTGGATAACATGAAATTAGTTGACCTTAGTCCAGTTCCTAATGGACCGCTATCCCCATCATGACTGGTATGTTTGTTGCCAATCCAAGTAGAGATGTCATGGACTGAATAGGCATAAAGATGTGGTCCCTTCAGAGAGGAGAGAGGCAGCGTAAATTCCAGTGTACTGCGTTGAGTGGCAGAGGGAGGTGTGTCTAGTGGGCGGGGGACAGGAGGGGCTTGTTTTAATATCTTCACCATTATCTGGAATTTGGCATAAATTATGTTTGAATGATACTCCCTTGTTATACTGAACTAGGTAAAGTTGCAGATACCTCTGAGGACTGAGAAATTATAAAAAGAAACCTGGAGAAATTGGCAAGGTGGGCAGAAAATAACTAACAAAATCAGTTTCAGTTTGGAAGATAATACAAGGTTATAGTTCTGGAAAGAAAGGATTTTCAGTGAGGGAGTGAAACCTGGAAAACAGACCTACTGGTGATAGTGGAGAGCAAACAGAGAAATATAACAGGGAAGACCAAGGAACACAGTTTGGGGCTGCATAAGAAGAGACCTCAAGCAATAAGAGCAGGGGATGTAGGGGCTGATTTATGACGAGAGAAAGTTAAATGATTTTACTCAAGATACTGTATGCTCATTTAAGAGGGGAGTTGAATTGCTTAGAGCGGTCAAGAGGATAGGTCTGGGATGAATTTAACAGGGAAAACTGAAGTGGAATATTAGGAAAATCTTCCTGACATTGAGATGCATTAGGCTGTAGAAGTCTCCCAAAGGAAGTGGTGGAAGCTTCCATGCTGAGGGATATTGAAACTAGATTGGATAAAATTACTGTTGGGGGGTAGTTTTCATTGGTGGGGAGATGGAAGAGACCTGGATTAAGTCTTGCAGTCCATGTCAAATGTAGGGTTCGTACTGACATTGCTGTATCTGTTGAGTGAATAGGCAGAACTTCTTCAAACATTCACTTTGGCAACCCCATTCTTCCCCCAAATAAAAATACTTCTGAAGAACAAATCCCTCATTTAGACTTTGTAATCAAAACAGCTATATAAACTACCTTCTGTTGTGTTTCTTACTGCACATATGTGAAATGCTGCAAAACTTTTTTTTTTTAATATTTCTAGAAATAGCTGAAAGAGAGAGGAAAGAAGCCCTTTCCGCTGGAATCCAGACATAATAGTGGGGTGATCTTTCAGCAGAAACTCTTTTTTTCAAGAGACATTCCTGCCATTATGAATGAAGTAGCAATAGTGAAGGAAGGATGGCTTCACAAGCGAGGTAAGTGTCTTTTCCTTCCCATTTAAAGGAACACTGTCTGTTTGGCTCAACCAACAAATTGGCTTGGTCTCACCTTTAACAGCATACCTTTAAATAGCTCTTCCTTATTTTTCTCTCTTAAAATCTGACCCTTCCTAATGGTAAATATACATAGGAAAGATGTATGACTTTCCACAAGGCATGCAAGACTCTGCGAAATGTGTGTATTATGTTTTTCTCAGAAAACTCAGTATCTCCACCATTTGGTTTGAAAATTATGTTAATAGAAAAAAAGAGGCTCCTTTAAAATAGAGAGTTGAAAGTTGAACTATTGCAAAGGTGGGACAATTTATTTTGTCTCTATGGCAGGGGTTCTCAACCTGGGGGTCACGAGGTTATTACATGGGGGGGGTCGCGAGCTGCCAACCTCCACCCTAAGCCCCGCTTTGCCTCCAGCATTTATAACAGACTCATAGACTTTAAGGTCAGAAGAGACCATTATGATCTTCTAGTCTGGCCTCCTGCACAACACGGGCCACAGAATCTCACCCACCCACTCCTGTAACAAATTCCTGGCCTATGTCTGAGCTATTGAAGTCCTCAACTTGTGGTTTAATGGTGTTAAATGTATTAAAAAGTGTTTTTAATTTATAAGGGGGGTCACACTCAGAGGCTTGCTATATGAAAGGGGTCACCAGCAAAAAAGTTTGAGAGCCACTGCTCTATGTAGATAACTTATCTGTAGCTGTTCTATCTATGAGCATGTGTGATTAGAAAATATAATTGTCTCAAGGTGAATCTTCATTTGGACAGCAAGGAATACAATGATTATTAGCTGTGCTATGATCCCACAGTAGATTTATTAGTGAATGCACTCTTTGGTGGTTGTTTTTTTTTAAAACCCTACCACTCATTGTACCCAAGACATGAGCAGTAGCATTAATTTTGCACACTCCATGTACATCTGTTTTAACACTGGTAAAATAAAACTTTATTAAAGTCCTTCTGTATGAGAGGTGGGGCAGAGAGAGCTGAAATATAACTGACATAGTAATTGCATGTCCTTCTATCCTGTTGCATTACTAGACATTCCCCCACTCCCTGAAGGTCTTGCTAAGAGTAAGTGAAATTTTACTGTATGCTTTTTTTCCTTAGGAACAGTGTTGTTATGCTATCAGGTATTTGGCTTACCTGTTTCTTTGTACTGTACTATTGCTTCCTGGAAAGGAGAGAACAACATTAGGCGCTTTTTATAATCTCATCATTTGTTGTAGACAACAACAGATTTTGTATCCTCTGGATTTTGTATCCTCCAGCTTGCTGCTTGTGCAGACTCAGGATTTTTCTGGAAAGTTTGCAACAACAAAGTAATGTAACCTGAAGGTGCAAAGGTACAGAATAATTATTGGGGGAAGAAGATGGCATTCCTTATCATAACCTTGATAAAGGTTAAGGATTCTTCTGCAAGAATAAAATTGATAAAATCCATGTTATTAAAATAAAAGGAAAATTATTTTTTCTATAATCTGTTATACCCTTTAGTTTTCCATTCTCATCTGATGATTGGTCAGGAGAATTTGACATGGCCATATGAAAGCACTATAATTTTTTATTCAGTTTTGTTTCAGACAGCATTTATGCACCTAAATGTCCCCTCTCTAGAGCTTAGTGAAATGTATAACATCTTAATTCATGTCACTGGATAGTTCTGAAGAATCTAAACTACCTTTTGCAGTAAATATATTTGAGAGAGACATTTTGATTGGGTAAAACAAGGCAAGGAAAAAATTACTTACATTTCATTTTCCAGTTTAGGATCCTAGACATTCTTTCAGTTAAAGGGACACTGTGGACTTAAATCACATTTCTGCCTGAATATATTTTTTTTTTTATACCTAGTTACAGCTAACATGACTATAACTGAAAGAGGATGGAGGGAAATGTGTATTTCGTGTGCGTGCGCACATTGACTGCACTTTGTCGATGCAGTTTTATTGTAGTCAGTCTTCCTCGGTTTGCGTGGGTCTTTCTCACAAGAACGGTGGGAGAGAGAGAAACATTTTTTTAAATAAGAAAGCATGGTTGTAAATCCACAGACATTGTTCAAGGTGGATTCAAGGGCAGATGTAGTATCCAAAACTATTTTTATCTCTTTTTTTTTTTAAATTTTTTAAACAGTCTGACTAGATTTCAAGCTGACAATGACCCTCAATATTGAAAATTGAATTTTCTATGCTTCCTACGATAAAAAGATAAGCTGAACACAAGTACTGGTTCTTCGTACTTTGAAATATTGCTGGGGGGTGTCTTAGGCCTGGTCCACACTAACCCCCTACTTCGAACTAAGGTACGCAAATTCAGCTACGTTAATAACGTAGCTGAATTCGAAGTACCTTAGTTCGAATTTACTGCGGGTCCAGATGCGGCAGGCAGGCTCCCCCGTCGATGCCGCGTACTCCTCTCGATTTATCGCGTCTAGACAAGACGCGATAAATCGATCCCAGATGATCGCTCGCTTACATCCGGACCAGGAAGTAAGTATAGACATACCCTGAGTTCTAGATTCTTTAATTGATTTCTAGATCCCTTTAGAGAGACTTTATTGCCCTCCAGCACCAGAGATTATAATCTGTAATTTAATGTGACAAGACCACCTGCTGAGCACGTGTGTTGTAACTTTTTTTTTTTTTTTTTTTTTTTGGTGGGGTAAATAGTAGTGTATGCTGTGTATTTGAGATTCAAATTCAAATTTTGTGCTCGGAGTTTGCATATTCATCTTGATGCTTTGCATCTAAGTAAACCCCATTTATTTATCCTGGTTCCCCCACAGCTTTTCCCCTCTTTCTGTCCCGTCCTGATGAATACTCTGGCACCTATTTCTTTCCACTTCAGTGGTGAAACACAACTGGTAATGTTACTTCACTAACCTGCTGATGGGAGATTTCAGAAAGCGACGCAGTATCCCCTTCTTTGCTTGCCAGGAGACCACATGTGCTAAGCTCCACTATATTCCGAGTTTCATTGGCAGCAGTGATGAGATCGGTTGAAAATTGATTCACTTGCATGGAGGGAGAGAGGCTGGTCCATGAGTGTGGGTTTTTTGTTTGTTTTTTAAGTGACTTCACATCTACAACGCTTTGTTATAGATCTGCACTTGAAAAAGAGCAGATTAATTTGCTAGTTCTGCAAGGCTAAATGCTCCAGCCAAAGGATGTTTCCAAAACTGATGCCTGGTACTGTGAGCTTGTGAAAGAAGACATAAACAGTAATTACTGTAGGGAGGGACTACAAAGGGAGGATTACAGATATAGTAAACGTATACAGTTTGTCTTTTGGGTAACAAATAAAACCGAGATCCTGACTGCTTGCGGTCTTTAAAGAGTCCATGGTTCTTTTCACAAGTGTAATCAGTGTTAACCTCAGCGACTGGCCAAATGCCAGTTTGGGTAATTATGTTCTGCCTACCTTAAATTCCCTCCACAGTTTCAGTTGGATAAGGTATCTTTTAGTTCCTGTCCTGCACAGTAGAACAGCATGGCTGTGTGCAGTTAAACAGTTGCTACATTTCACCCCAGCGGTGGCTGCGTTTCAGTGGTTGCAGTGATTTGTGTATGTGTAAATCAGTTTGCAAAGGGCTTTGGAGCCCTTCTGGATGGCAGGTGCTCTATATGCCATTATTATCTAGAGCAGGTGTTTTTGGCCTGGTAGAAATAGAAATAGCATGAATTTCTTGGGTATCTTTCTTGCCTTTTTAGTTTTTGTTTCAAAGTCAAAAATATAAATGGAGAAATGAAATTCAACATCTTTTTCTGTGCATGTCTGATAGTTCCTGGCAGTCCCATGAGTCAGTCACTTAAAGGAAGTGCCGCTTCCAAGTAGTTCAGATGTTTATTTGTGGAGAGGCCAGTGGTATCTATCTCCATGACACTTCTAGCCTCAGCCAATCAGATGTATAAGAATTCATGAATGAACTCTTTTTTTTTTTTTTCAATTGGCAGCACATAGCTCTGTAACCCTAAGCAGGATGGAACAAGTGCTTGCTCATCAGCTATGCATATGAAAACAATAGTTAGAAACCCTGACCTCTCTTTGCAGGATTTCTTAATGCACGTGTGGAAAACTTGGAGTGGAGAAACTTAGACTTTGTCATGTTTAGGGGTGTGTATGTGTGTGCGCATACAGTACACGATGTTACATTGGTAGAGGGACGAGACATTGGAGGCTAGGATTTTGTCTTGTGGCAAGGCATAAGGGGGGAATTAATCTGTATAAGTCCCATGACCAGTGATTAAATAATATGTGGGAGGGAGGAGAAAATCATCTGCTCTGAATGCTTTTAGTTGTTGGAACTCAATGTTACTGTGTTTCTAAATGTATGTCAGTGGTACCCAGAGATTTGGATGGATGCCCTTTTATGTGGAATTTCTTCTAGACTGAAGTAAATACCAGTCTCAAGGTCCTAATGATTTCCTTTTCCCATTTTCATTCATCTGTCCACACTAGTGGGTCCTCCCAAGGTCAACTCTCCATCCCTATATCTGCCTTTCCCAGTGTGTCCTATCTTCTGTCTCTCTTATTTAGATTCTAAACTCTTTGGGGAAGGGATTGTCTCTCTTGTATATAGTGTATACAGATGAGAATTTTGTCAGGGCTAAGCAAGGAGATAAGAATCCTCATGGGAATCTCAAAGCAGTTACAAATTTACACATGGATTTTGTCCACCAAAAGGTACCAAATGTGGTGGTGGTATTTTTAAACAGTGAACACAAGCACTGCACAGCAGTTAAGCCAGCAAGTATAGAACACCTTATCCAGCAGAAACGGCAGAAGGATTTTAGGCATGTAGACTGAAATTACCCTATTATGTATCTGGCTGACCAACAGGCAGATATTACCAGAACTTTAATGACAAATGGCATCCTGTCTTATCTGTAAGATAGTGCTTCCAGTAGCAAGATGCCTTCCACTGGCACACTGGAGACTTGATTCTGCTTTGACATGGAGGGACCATTACCCCCTGT